TCAAATGGTTTGGGGAAAAAGACCATAAAAGGTAGAGTACCACTAGACTATGGGGTAAGACATCCTCTCACAGCAACGTCTAATACCAAAGAGCTGCCATTTATTCTCGTCAGCCCCAGAGATAGAAGGCTGCATACTCAAGTGAGTACAATGCTGCGGACACACCTAGCTTGTTTGTGCAAGCTGATTTGTGGCTCCAACTCAAAAATAAAATGTATTGTCCAACTTCAAATAAAAACCCAGGCCTTCAGTGTTAAAACCTTAAAAACAAACAGACAACAGCAACAAAAACCCACAAGGGAAAATCAGGAAAGGTCAATTCTACCTTACATTTTCCGGCTAGATCAGAGCATGTACATGGGTACAGAAAAGAGCTGGAAACACAGGGAATCCAGGATAGATAAACCCCTCAGGATCAATATTGAGAGTAACCATACCAGGAGAATAAGGGAAAGGTGGGTTAGAAAGGGGGAACCGATCACCAGGATCTACATATAACCCCCTCCCTGAGGGACAGACAACAGAAAAGCAGGTGAAGGGAGACATAGGTCAGTGTAAGACATGAAAAAAAAAATTTATAAATTATCAAGGGTTCGGGAAGGAGGGAGGGTGGAGGCGGGAGGGGGGAAAAGGAGGAGCTGATACCAAGGGCTCAAGCAGAAAGAAAATGTTTTGAAAATGATGATGGCAACATATATACAAATGTACTTGACACAATGGAAGGATGTATGGCTTGTGATAAGAATTGTATGAGCCCCCAATCAAATGATTCATAATAATAATAAAATAAAATAAGGAGAGGTGGGCGTTGGGCTTGTATAGTTGCACCGTACTGATTCAATCTCTATGTTGAACGCAATATCAGAGACGCAGATCAACCCTATGAGGCCGTCCACTGGCAGACCTTTCTCCTTCATAGTGGCCGATGGGTTTGACTTGCAACCTTTGGGCCAGTAGTGGAATGCTTTACCACTTGTTTACTTATTTATTTACTTTTCCTCACAACGCTTCTCTTTTGCTTATTTTCTGTCTGCCTCAAATTGCAATGTCACTTTACTCTCTACAACAGCATTTGGCTGAAAGTAGGCAGTTAATGATTATTTATTAAAAGAAGGAATGACATGTACAGATTAAAACTTAAGTGAGTGGACACTATTTGTGCTAACAATGAAGGTGGGAGATAGGCAAAATTTTCAATAACATTCACAAAAGCAGAACTATGCCTGCTAGACTCAGACATGTCATTAACAAAGCAAAAAGAGTATGAAAATAGCAAACATAAGGTGGTCTTGAGTGGCCATTTACTGGACACCCTCCAAGCAAGGGATTTGAACTGAAGTCCAGTGCTGTCTCACACTAGCATTTCAGCTTTCCATGGGACCTTTTCAGTTACTGCAATCTCCTAGAGGTGTCTTTAAAGTAAATTCCAGTTTGCTCAGCGAGATTTCCAAATCAGATCCCTCTGGTGTGGCCTATGAAGGATGTTGTGCAATTCTAAAGGACAGAATCTAAAGTCCCGGTTGTCTACAGCACGCACCCATGTATTTTAGTCTAAAAAGCTGTCCTATACATACATGTATACTCTCCTTTTCTCACCATTATTTTAAATTCTATACCATTGGTTAAATTAATGATGCTATCAATAGTATTACCATATATCCCATGGAAGTCATTTATAATATTCCCAAATGAAAGCATAATGATGTCTCTGGAGTGGAGTAGGGATATATATATATTAGAATGGATTTTGAACTCAAACTTAATTGTAGCCCTAATCCAAGAACAAACTGTTCTTATGATTTGACCATATTCTATACTTTCCCTCATAAAGATATCACTGATGATATGGGTGCTGTAGCGAAGTGTGGTGAATAAATTAGATGGTGCCCAGCTACCAGAGAGAATAGCACCTGGAATATTAAAGGCTTGTCTTAATACAAGCAGCCATCTAAATGAGTTGTCACTGAGTCCATATGGATGAAGCACACCAGCCTATATGATCAAAGGATGGTAAATAATAAAATCAAAGACCAGAGGAGGAACTGGTATTAGAGATTAAATTCTGAGCACCCTGTTTGCAGAAGGCAATGAATGACAAGGGAAGCCCAAAATCTATTTGCAGAATCCCAATGTGGATTAGGCCAAGGATAAAGCTCTTCTGACCATTGGACAGGGATGTGAAGTGTAGTTAGGTTACAAGTTAACACCTTATCATTTGTTCTCCCTTTTGATGGTTTTTTAAATTTGTTCTAATTTTTATTATTTTCTCCTTTCTTTTTGATTGAGGTATTTTTTCTGTTCTATTTGTTATTGTTGTTGGAGTTTTGTTTATTAGTTCATTTTTTTATGTTTTTCTTTATATGAAATCCAGGATAGGTAAATCTATAGAGATGGTAACTAGATTAATAGTTTCTTGAGGTTATAGCAAAAGAGGTGGGGATGTAAATGGGGAGTTATTAATGAGTACAAGTAAGAAGAAATTGTTCTAAAGCTGATTGTGATGATTATTCCACAACTCTTTTTTAATAGATTCAAACCATTGAAATGTGTGATATGTGAATTATATGTTAATAAAACTTAAATCTGAAAAACAAAAAAAATAAATAAAACTTAAATCTGAAAAGAAAGAATGAATGAATGAGCCAGATACAATCAAATTTGCTGCCTCCTGATTACACAGCATGTTGGTTTGGAGGTCTTGAATCCATCATCTGTGATGGCCTAAATTGTGCCCTCGATTATACCATTTAGAAATAGGCTTCTGTTGTTACATTAATGAGGCGGTACAGGGTGTTTCTATATTGACATCTTTTGAGATATTAAGCAGTGGCAAGCAAGCAAGCAGAAACGGGGAAGACAGGTATCAGACCACATGGAGATCTCCAAGGAAGGGAGGGACAGATGCTGAAAAGAGGCAGGGACCTTCCCCCAGAGCCCAGGGTGAGGGAAAGCCTTCCCTTGGAGCTGTTGCCCTGAACTCAGCCTCCTAAACGGTGAGAAAATAAATGTATGTCTATGAAAGCCACCCACCGTTGGTATTTGGCAGCATAGTGGTTACCCAATGGGCTGCTAACCAGTAGATATGCAGTTCAAAACCACCAGCTGCTTTTTGAGAGAAAAGCGTTCTACTCCTGTAACAAGTTGCTTTCTCAGAAACCCACAGCAGCAGTTCCACCCTGACTGATGGGGTGGTGGTGAGTTGGAACTCAACTCGATGGCAGTGAGTTTTTAGGTTTTGAGAGTATGAGATCACTAAGGCACTCGCCTAGTCAAGCCTTCCGAGATTGAAATCCACCAAGCAATAGCCATATCACTCATTTGGCTAGATAGCAAAGAGAAAGAAAAATTATCAATAAGCAAACAATTAAAAAGTACATTCCCTTTAAGTATTAATCACTGAGATTTACACATCTGTTTTCTCATTTGATCTTCATACAATCACCCTAAACTATTGGTAGAAGCGAAAGTCCTATTTTATAATGAGGAAAATACAATTCAGAGAAGTGAAGCCAATTGCTTAAGGCCTATAACCAAAAAGTAGCTAATCTGAGCTTTATACTCACATCTGATTCCATGCCTACCACTGACTTCCACCATGTCAGAGGAGAGGAAATTCAGATGAATTGACTTGTCTGGTAGGTGCCGTATACAGACAGAATAGTAGTGCATTTGGAGTTCATTCCAACAGTTTAAACTATTAATCAAGCTTTTTATTTAGAGGTTCTGAAAAGATTGCCTAACAGTGTGTGACCAAAAAAGGCCTGATTTGTGGCGGGAGTGGGGGGGGGGAGACTGTTTTCCACCGCAAGAATTCACAGCAATGCACCTGCTCACTCAGCCATCTCAGTGCACCAGTTTGTGGCCAAAACAACAACAATAACAAAGGCATGCCTTTGCTCCACACACCTTACTTACCTGACCTTGCTCTGTGCAACTTCTTTTTGTTTCCACGAATGAAGAGGGACAAGAAAGGACAGTGATTTGCTGATGTAGAAGAGGTGAAGATAAAAAATGAGGGAGGTGCTGTCAGCCATCCAAACAGATGAGTTTGGAATATGTTTCCAAGAATGGAATTGCAGGTTTGAGAAATGGATTAAGTGTAATGGGGTGTATTTTGAAGGTGATACGGTTGTTTAGTAAAACAAAAAATTAAATACATAGCTTTGAAAAGAGCAAACCATTTTCGGGGGGAGTAGCCCCTCATATTCTGTGAAGCATGAGCACATCAACAACATCAGGCTGATGGAGAGTAACGGCTCCTACGAACACGGAAAACGATGAGTCGTGATGGGCTGTACGGGTCCTTGTTCTTGTTAGGTGTCATTGAGTCAGTTGGGCTTTCTTCCAGAACCTACTAAACCCTCGACAGGTGTTTCTCAACAGGGTTGCATCACGAGTGCACCGTCAGCCCAGGTACAACACAACAAAACACTATCCCATATTGCGCCCTCCTCACAATTGTTACTTAGTTTGAGCCCATTGTTGCATCTGCTGGGTCAAGCAACCTCGTTGAGGGTCTTCCTCTTTTTAGCTTGTGCTCTACTTTGAAATCAATTCCAATAGCATGTTGTTGGTTTTGGTTTGGTTTGGTGTTGGACTGTGGTTGGAAATCGTGATTCTACTATCCTTTGAGATGGTGCTTTAGTTTGGGACCACATCCGAAAGGACCTTGGGGACCACACTAGAGAGCTTGAAATTCCTCTTTATTGGCAGTTGGGATCCATAAGAAGCTCATATAAAGGAGTTTATCAGCAGCTGTTCATACTAATTCTTTTATAACTGTTCTACACTGTGATAAAATTAAACCTGTTTCAAAGAAGAGATGATTGCTTTCATTTCCTCTCACATCCGTGAGTGTGTTACTGACTAATATTGCCCAACAGTTAAGTGATCGTGTTACATTGACACTTTGAGTGCCTTAACATGTACACTGGAGTCAGCTAATCATGCTGGCAGTGGCCTGGAATAACGAAACACTTCTGTTTGATTTTATGCTTCAGGAAGGAGTAAGAAACTTCAAGGAACTTCGAGCCAAATTTCAAAACACACTCGATGCCCCACTTCTTCCAGGACCCATTAAACCCGCAGTAGGTGTTTCTCACAGGGGTTGCAGCACAAGTGCACCGTCAACCCAGGGTTTGGCCAATGGGAAAGCCCCTTCATCCAACCAGAGTCGACCCTCACCATGCGATCCCAGTGGTGAATGTGAGCCCCTCGCACCCCAGCAGATGAAGCTGACCCAGAGCAACAACATTCAGAAATGTTCTAATTCCCCAGCGCCTCTGGAAGGGTCTTCTGGGTGTGCCATCAATTTACAAAAGGCTTCTCTGCTGTCTGAAGTGAATCACCCAAAAGATGAGCTAAGGGAGAAGGAAAAAGTGATAGTGGCGTACAGCTTCAGAGACAAGCTTTCAAACTGGGAGAAGTTTTCAACTCAGAAAAGCCAGGTGTCATCAACCGTCTTCCTGACCAATTGTGGAGGTAGAGGCTTCCAGCTGGACGAGTCAAAAATCTTGGGGAGCGCTCCAGAGAAACTAAAGAAAAGGCTAGACACAAATGAAGCCAAGACTCTTGCTTCCCAGAGGCACTTGCTGGCCCAAAGAAAATCAGTTGCCTGCTCTGAAGAGTCCTCCATGCTACACCACAGGAAAAGTCTAGAGAACTCTGGGTCTAAGAGGACACCAACAGAGAGCACTGTCTATGAGTGTGAGCTCGCCAGCCCCGTCACAGGTGAGACATGTAATCTCTGTGGGGTTGGGGAGGGAATCACTGGCTGTTTCGAATATAAAGCCTATTGACTTCACATGGTCACAGAAGGTGACCCAGGCAGTGTTTGCTACCTCCGGTGCGGGTATTCTAGGTCTCGCTGCTAATTTGTAATTTCTGGTTTGGGGTGGTGATGAATCTCTTGGTATTACATTGAGAGAGGGTTCATAGAATGGAACAAACAAACTGGCTCCACCCCAGGGCCTTTGCACTTGCCAGACCCTCTGCTGTAACCCAGGCATTTGCAGGTCTCAACCCTCCCTTCATGAAGGTCTCTGCTCAAGTGTCCTCTGCTCTGAACGACCCTTGCTGGTCGTTCTGGCCGAGGTAGCTACATCACCTCTACCCCTGTCTTCTTCCATTGCTTTAGTTTGCTTCATCCCTCTTGGCTGGTATATTGTTAGGCATCTTTGCGTGCGTTTTGTATGTGTTGTGTGTGCGCCTCTGCACCTGCTCTTTCCTCTTCACGGAACACTCTTCTTTGATCCTTGCCTGGCTGCATTTAGGTCTAAGTTCAATGGACGCTTTTCCCAGATAAGTGTTTTCTAGCCTCACTCTCTAAAGAGCACTGCCTTGCCCACACCAGCTCACATTCCTTCATGTCATCCTGTTTCTGTTTTCTCCTGAGAACTCAGCAACTGTGGTAAGTCTCTGATGTATTTATGGAGCTCATGTATTTAGTAGCTTACATGTTTGCCACCAGTTTCTTCCTGCTAGGATTCGATTGTCTCAGGACAGGACTGTAACTGTTCTGGATCTCAGCAAAAGGTCTGAGATAGAGTGGATACATAATTGTCGTTGAAGGAGGGGCAAGAAAGACAAAGATAGGAAGGACCCAATGTTGGGGAGAAGGAGAGAAAGAGGGGAGACGGGAGTCTGGCTGGATGGAGCTGTTGAACGGCTCAGCGAGAAAACTCATGTCAAACGGTGAGCGTGGTGCCTGGCCAAAACTGGGATCTCAATTAGTAAGTCGAACTTCATTTTGTTACTATGCCTTCTTCTTAATTATACTCATTACAAAGTCGAATTCCTGACATGGTATGTAGTTTGAGTGGCTCTGACTGTCTGAGGGTGTAGCCCCTGCTGTAGGACCTGGAAAGGGAGCGTCCCTTCCCTCCTACTTGTAGAGGACAGCATGGCTTGGAGGAAGCCACCGAGTTATTTGTGAAATCCCAGTGATTAAACACTGGGCTGCTGACTAGGAGGTCAGCAGTTTGAAACCACCAGCTACCTGTTCAAAAGACAAGGCTTTCTACTCCTGTAAAGAGTCACAGTCTTAGAAACCTGCAGGGGCAGTTCTATCCTGCGCTATAGGCTCGCCCTGATTCTAAATTGACTCATGGCAGTGAGTTTAGTTCTTGGGTTAAACTACATTTTTACTTTTAGCAAGGATGACCCCCACATACTAAATTATGTAAATAAAAAACCTAAGACCCTTGGATTCTAGATGATTTTTGTGTTATATCCAGTGTAGGAGGCAGATGATTTTATATAAAATTTTGGGATTTCTATTGGTACTTGGTTTATTTATGCCAAAGGAATATTCTAGAAAATCCTAGTATAGAAAATTCGTAAGTGCCCCGTTGCCATAAAAATCACCTTAGACTAAAAAGCGTCTCAGAGGAAGCTTAAACAGAATGATACATGCTTACCTGTCTCCGCAGCGCCCACCCTACTGTTTGCTCATTGTCAGCTCTGGAACTCTTGCAGTGAGTCACCACGGTGCTTCTTCTCAGGGGTAGGCTTTCTGCTTGGTGCTGGGTCTGGGGCCAGTAGTCCCCCCGCTAGCACCCAGGTTTAGTTGGAACATACCAGGGAGCTTCCAAGGGTTCAGGTAAAAAAAGGAATGAAAAGATGATGGGATTTTCCTACCACTTTTCTGAAGTTCCCTTGTATACCGGCACCCCTGATTCATCCTACTCCTGATGTACAGGTGCTAACAATAATGGGCTCAGGCCTAGGAACCACTGTGGAGCCGGCGCAGGGCCCTGTCGAGCTTCAGGCTGTTGTACATAGGGTCACTGTGGGTCGGAGCCCACTGGATGGCCCCTAACAACCTGAGAATACGGAGGGCGGCGTGGGCAGTGCTGGCCCTGATGTCTAAAGGATTCTAGCTTCCTAGAGGAAGTGTCATGGGAGTCGACTGTAAAGGACAGGTCAACGTTTCCCAGGAGAGACGTGAGGGCACAGCACTGCGGAACCAGGACTGGCATAAACAGAACCGCCGATATGTGAGAGCTTTCTAAAAATATAACTCTTTCAAAAGGGAAATTCGAATCACATCTGGATCACAGCTGTCAGTAGAAACGAAGAGTTGTGAGGGCCTCAGTTGGGAGGGTTGGTGTGGGCGGGACAATACCTCAACCTTCATGGATGAAGTCAAAGGAGGTTAGGCCGAAGAAGTCCAGCTTCGGCCTCCAGGCAGCCAAGGGGACACATGGCCAGGTGTGCATTGGGAGCCAGAGATTCCAGCTGCTGGGTGGAGAATAGATGGGAGGGGTCAGAAGTCAGTCAGCGTCCTCTGACAACTAAGGAAATGGAAACACAGTAGCTGTAAGCTATATAGCTTACTGTCTCCTGGAGGGCCTTCACCAACAATTTACCGTCTCACCCAGAAAAGCGGCGGGGTGCCAGGCATCACCAACTGCCCCAGACGAAGCCACTACCTTCTGTCAAGTCCCTGGGTCCTCCGCCCCCAAAGCCGCCGAAACCCCCAGCCGTGAACCTCCTGGCCTTCCGAAGGCAAGCAGCTGCTGTTTCCAAGACCCAAAGGAAAGGTAAGGAATCGCCCAGGGCCCTGTGTACAGCCAGGTGCCGGTGGTGCACCCCCCGCCACCCCCCCACCCCCGGCATGGACTCCCAGGTCAAAATGCAGCGCCTGCTCTCCACCGGGCTGGGCATCCATCACTGCCCGTTTTCGCGTGGAGGCCGAGGCAGCTTGCCTGTGAAATGACAAATCTGTGGGAATTGGCCCCTTATCACTCCCGGGCCAGCTTGCTTCCCTGAGAGCAAGGCATTTGATCGCTGGGCGTCTTTCCAGAATGAAGGAAAGAGAAAGTCCCCGCAATGGACCTTCTGTTTTCAGAAAAGTCTGTGTTGTCAACACAGCCGGCACAGGGGAATGGGGTGGGGAGGGGCGGAGAGAAAGGGAAGCGCCTGCGCACTTGACATAAGATCATTATCTGAGTGTCCTCCGCCTTTGTGATCTGAGTCCTAGGGCCTTGGAAATTCTGGTCCCTGCTGGTGCCTTCCAGGAATTGAAACATTCTCAGAGACCACCTTCTGTGCCATTTTGTGTTTCCCTCTGTTATTTAAACGACTACCCTCCAGGCCACCCCTCACCCCCACCAGAGTCTGGTCCTGTTGACAAGTTCAACACCTTGTGTATGGAGAGGCAGGTGGGATGACGCGGGCACTAGTCGGTGATCAAGTGCTGCGGAACCGCTGCTTTCCTGAGAGCTGCACTGCAGTCTCTCCGGCAGCTCATGGGGCTGCTGGGGCCAACCTCCTGCGCACTTGACATCAGACCATTATCTGAGTGTCCTCCGGGTCCAGTGTGGATAGCTAGCGGTGCTCAGACTTCAGCACACAAGAGAATCACCTAGGGGCTTGTGAGAATACTGATCGCTGGCCCCACCTCAGAATGTCTGATTCAATTGGTCTGGACCAGGGTCCTGTGAATTTGCCTTTCCCTCAGGTTCCCAGGCTTCCCTGATGGCACTAAGGAGTAAGTATTTAGCATTCAGTAACTAAGCTAAAGATTAGAGATTTGAATCCACACTGAGGCACCAAAGAAGAAAGTCCTGGGGGGTCTAATTCAGGCCAAAACCAAACTCACGGCCATCGAGTTGCTTCTGCCCCATGGAAAACCTGGAGGGAGGTAGACCTGTCCCTGTGGGCGCCTATGGGTGTGACTCCTTACAGGAGCAGAACGCATCCCCTCCCCTTGAGGAGCGGCTGGGGGATTCAAGCTACTGACCTTGTGGTTAGCAGACCATTACTCCACCAGGGCTCTGCTCTACTCTAGACTCCTGAGACCACCATGAGTCAGACTCAACTTGAAGGCAACAAGTTACTGGTAGCAATTTCCTAGGGGTGCTTCCCCCAGGGACCACACTTTGAGAACAACTGAGTCATAGTAAGTCCCACCGCAGAAAAGTCTATGTAGAGAAGCGGGGCTTACGTAATGTGGACACCCCCATATCAAAGAAGGCTTAGTGTGATTTTTATAAAGAATAAATAATTCAGGGCTCGGATCACCTCTCTGAAAGAGGAGGTTGTCAGCATGGAACGAAGCCCTATGTCATTACTAATACTGTGACTTTGTAAATTCTGGCTCTCCCATTACTAACCATTTAAATCTGGTCTGTTCTCACTGCACATCACTTTCCTTATCTGTAAAGTGGCAATGATAATAATGCCACTAACCTTATGGGATTATCATGATGATAGAATGAAATGACACGTGAAAAGTAAATCGTTCCTGGCACTTAAGCCCTCAATGAGAATTAGATATTCACATTAATTCAAACTACATCGAGACTGGCCTCAGGCTGGACATAAGAGATGGATTCCACTGAGACAATGGTTGTCAGAGAGACCAACAACCAATGTGAGAGATTGCACCCGTGAATAAAACACCCGATAGTTGTGCTTGTCTGTTAACCAACCCAAAGGTAGGCGGTTTGTACCCACCCAGCTTCAGTGCAGGAAAAAAGGCCTGGCAGTGTGTTCTGTGAAGATCACAACCAAGAAACCCCTATGGTTTTCACACAGCGCATCACCAGGGCTACAACTGCCAGCCATTGGAAGCGAAAGGGAACCTTGACACACATGGGGTCGCCATGAGTTGGAGTGGACACTACAGCAATTGGCCCAGTGGAAAGGGTAGGAAGGAGAAGGGGCTATGTGGTACACTTGGTCGGCGGGGGTCAGGACATGCCACAAACCTAATTCTGCTTGCCTGGCTATTGACTAGGCTGGTTTTGTTCCACTCTGCCTCTTCTTCTTGCAGATGCTGTGGAAGACAGCAACCTGCCCCCAGAGAGGTAAGTACATGCCTCGTAATTGTGCTGAAATCTAGCCCATCAGCAAAGACTATTTAGTCTGCCTAAGAGCAGGCTGTAAGTGCAAGGCAAGAATATGTATGTCTCAAAAGGGTTGAAGGGAGAGCAGATTTATAAGCAATGAGCTGCAACTTTTTGTTTTAAATGAAGGATTAAATAAACTGCATTCACTGACCATGCTGACATTAAGTTGCAAAGATGGTCCTCTGAGGGAATTTTATTTATGATGCAGTTGGGTTCAGTAAATTGAAACATCAGCTTCCATCGTCATAAATTGAATTAGAGGCTAAAGAATGCTCTGGGCAGCTGGCGTGATGCTAGGAATTGATCATGGAATAAAGGGGTTTATATTTTTGGTGCACTCATTCTAAGAATTTTGCCATAGGAAATCAGTTCTCTTATCCATTCAACCAAACAGTGTGCAGTGAGCCCTTTGGGGGGTCACGTATTGAGCTTGCCACGCTATATAGATTTCTTTTCTCAAGAAAGCCTGCAAGGTTGCTACTCTCCTCTTTCTACAGTTAAGAAGTTGGGCTCCGATTATGTGCCATTTGTAGAACCATGAATTGAACTCAGGGCCACCCAGACTGTATCAGCTCCCTTCCCTCACAAAGATGTCCCTGTTCCCTAGAAGGCCAATTTTAGAGGGCTAACACAATATTTTAAAAATAAATTATATTACTTATTTATTCAACAAATATTTGTGATGGGAGAGTGTGTTGACCATTTTGTGATCCGTGGACCTACCTGTATATCGCCCACCATCATCTTCAGTCTCTGTCTTTGTTGGGGAGTTGTTGGTCCAACTGCAGTATACGTACAACTGTATAACTGTTAATATGAAGATAGGGCCTCACCCCACCAGCCACACCACAGAGTCCACATGATTATATGGGTCCCACATAATTATATTAAAACCCATTGTTGTTGTTAGGTGCCATCAAGTTGGTTCTGAGTCATAGCAACTCTATGCACAACAGAACAAAACACCACACAGCCCAGCACCTTCCACACAATCCTTATGTGTAAGCCCATTGTTACAGCCGCTGTGTAAATCCGTCTTGTTGACTCCCTTCCTCTCTTATGCTGCCCCTCTCCTTTACTGAACACGATGTCCTTCTCCGGGGCCTGATCTCTGACAATGTGTCCAAAATACACGAGATGAAGTCTCGTTATCTTGGCGTCTAAGGAGCCTTCTGGTTCTCCTTCTATCAAGACAGATTTGTTTATTCTTTTGGCAGTCCATGGCACTTTCTTTTCTTTTCTTTCATTTTACCTGGGGGAGGGCGGGGCTCATACAACTCTTATCACAATCCATACATACAACCATTGTGTCAAGCACATTTGTACATTTGTTGCCATCATCATTCTCAAAACATTTGCTTTCTACTTGAGCCCTTGGTATCAGCTCCTCATTTTCTCCCCTCCCTCCCCGCTCCTCCCTCCCTTACACTGTCTGACTTCTACCTTCATCCACTTTTCTGTTGTCCGTCCCCCAGGGAGGAGGTCACATATAGATCCCTGTAATCGGTTCCCCCTTTCCAACCCACCCTCCCTCCACCCTCCCAATATCGCCACTCTCACCACTGGTCCTGAAGGGATCATCTGTCCTGGATTCCCTGTGTTTCCAGTTCCTATCTGGACCAGTGTACATCTTCTGGTCTAGCCAGACTTGCAAGGTAGAATTCGGATCACGATAGCGGGTGTGTGTGTGGGGAGCATTTAGGAACTAGAGGAAAGTTGTATGTTTCATTGTTGCTACACTGCAACGTGACTGGTTCGTCCCCTCCCCGCGACCCTTCCGTAAGGGGATATCCAGTTGGCTACAGATGGGTCTTGGGTCCCCAATTGCACTCCCCCTCATTCATAATGATTTGATGTTTTGTTCTTTGGTGCCTGATACCTGATCCCTTCGGCACCTTGTGATCACACAGGCTGGTGTGCTTCCTCCATGTGGGGCCCATGGCACGTTCTCTGTCCTTTCCCAGCACCATCATTCAAAGGCATCGATTCTTCTTTGGTCTTCTTTATTCAGTGTCCAAATTTCACATGCAGATGAGATAACTGAAAATACCATGGCTTGAATCAGGCAAACCTTAGTCCTCAAAGTAACATCCTTCCTTTTCAACACTTTAAAGAGGTCTTGTGCAGCAGATTTACCCAATGCAATACATGGTTTGATTTCTTAACTGCTGCTTCCATGAATCTTGATTGTGTAGTCAAGCAAGATGAAATAATTGTCAACTTCCATCTTTTCTCTATTAATCAGGTTGTTACCCATATACGATTCATAAAAGCTTTTTAAATACGTCCCCATGATTTCAGCACGCCTTTAATTACAGAAATCACATGGTATCAATAACAACAGCAAGTCCAAAGTAGAAAATAATTCTGTCATCAAGAGGTTACATTTTGCATTAGAGGAAGATGTAAGATTCAGCTTGTACAGATGAGGGGATGGTCCCTTTTATAGGGGGGTGTAAAATAAGTCTTTCTCGAAGATGCATCAGTCATCAATTGCTACAGTAATACTACATAGCTTACTCACTGGCGCCAAGCCAATCCGGACTCCCGGGACCTTATACTACATAACAAACCACAACAAAAAGCCAATGGTATTCAACTATTTCACTTCCAACTCTAGAGTTTAACTGGTCTGAGTGGGGCTGAGTTGGACACACTCATGGGTTGGTTGTCAACTATGGGTTATCTAGATAGCTTTGCTAATCTTTGTTGGAGTTATCTTGAAGTTGGCTGATCTATTATTCCCGTAGCTAGGAAGACTGGGGCAACTTACTCAGCATAAGTATCTCTTATGCCCTCCCAGTGGCTGCAGGCCCTGATCCTCCTCCCAATGGTTATATTTGAACCCATGTTGCAGTCTATCTCATTGAAGGTCTTGCTCTTTTTGCTACCCCTCTACCAAGCATGCTGTCCTTTCCCAGGAACAGATCTCTCATGACAACAAATCCACAGTACTTGAGTTGGACTTCGCTTCTAAGGAGCAGTCACCTTGTACTTCTTCTGAGACAGATTTGTTTATTCTTCCGGCAGTTCATGTTTTTTTCAATATTCTTTGGAAACATCATAATTCAAAGGTGTGGTCAATTTGAGAGTATTAAGATTGAAGGGGTGAAGTCTGGCCTGTCAATCAGGTCATAGGCCCTGTGGGCCTGGCCATCTCCTGAGGATTCTGGGGACTATGGTGTCCTTCTCCAGAGACTTCTCTCCTGGCAACATGGCCAAAGTACATCAGCTGAAGTCGCATCGTCTTTGCCTACAAGGAGCATTCTGGCTGTACTACTTCCAAGACAGATTTGTTTGTTCTTTTGGCAGTCCATGATACTTTCAATGTTCTTCACCAGCACTACAATTCAAATGTATTACTCCATCTTCTGTCTTCCTTATTCAATATCCAACTCTCACAACTGCATCCAACTGCAGATTAGGCAATGTAAAATACCATGGTTTGGACCAGGCACACCCTAATCTTCAAAGTAACACCCTTTCTTTTCAATACTTTAAAGAGGACTTGTGTAGCACATTTACCCAATGAAATGTGTCTTTTGATCTCACGATTGCTAGTTCCATGAACACTGGTTATGACTCCAAGCAAGACAAAATCCTCCACAACCTAAATCTTTTCTCCATTTATCACGATGTTACTTTTTGTGTTAGTCTGGGTAGACTAGAGAAACAAATTCATGGACACTGATATGTGTATAAGAGAGAGTTTTATATAAAGAGTAATTGTACATTAAGAAAGCATCCCAACCCAGCCAAGTCCAAGCCCATAAGTCTGATATTAGCCCATATGTCTGATACCAATCTATAAAGTTCTCTTCAGACTCACAATACACATACAATGATGGCGAATGCAGGACAATTAGAGGCCAGTGAGTAGAAAGTCTTTGGATCCAGTGGCGTTGTAAGCATCTCAGCGCTGGCAGGGGTTTCTGCGTGGCTTCTCCAGTTCCCAGGGCTGCATCAGGTCCTGCATCGACGAAAGTGAGCAGAGAGAGAGAATGTCTCCCGTCTCCAAGGAGGAAAGTCAGGAATTCCCAGAATTTTTAGGTGATGGCCATGCCCACACGGAGGCTTCATTGGCTATGACCTGGTTGACAGACTAGACTCCACCCCTTCACTGTCAGGTCCCAAAGTGATACCAGATTACGTAGCTACCACATTTTTTGACACAGTTGTATCAACAGGAGTTGTGTTTTCTTTACATTGAGTTGTAATCAGCTGTGGAATTCAGACAGTTCAATCCAGTTCTGATGCCTAATTTTTGTGGAGTGCCTCGAGCCAGTTGTTAAAATGACACTACTATCAGGGTTCTCTCTGAAGTGGGTGGCTGGGCAGCTGCCCAATGTGGAAATAACACATTTTATATTCCTTACTCTTTTTTCATGTCTATCTGCACAACATCATACTCTAAGTGCCCATAGTAATGTTCATTCTGTCCATAGGTATGAAAAATTAGACAGAACTGTGTTCTTAATATTTATTTATCCATTTCATAAAACTCATACTTTTCCTGAAATACTACATTTTTTATTCCCTTGGGTTTGTTACTTTGGTAAACAGACATAGGACATAAAGAGAAAAAGAGTGCCAAACAACCAGAGGATGGCACACTGTCATTCATTTCAGCTTCGTGTTATACTCCAAATTCCACACAATAGGTTGAGTGACTTATGCAATTCCTGAAAATGTCCAAAATGCTAAAAATACTGTCAGAACAATTCTTTATGTTTGGCGGAAACGTAAAGGGGTCGTTCAAACATGAACATAACATCTTCAGAGAAGAGAAGTCATCTGTTTCTAACATATCAAACAAAATGACTAGTGTCTAACTGGTCTACCTCTAAAAGAAGGAGACCCTGCTCCTACAGTGAGAAGATGCGTAAAATCGATCACATCACTGATGATACTCAAATAAAAGCAAATAGCATTGCAAGTGAGGCTGCCAATCAAGAAGC